AAACAACAACAATAAATAAAATCAAACTGTTAAGTTGACTTTGAGTTATGGAGGTCCCATGTGTGTCAGAGCACAACTGTGCTGATTTTTCAGAAGTAAATTGCCAGACCTTTCTTTCAAGGCAGCTTTGTTATTGTTGTTAAGTGTCGGTTGAGTTGGTTCTGACCCATAGGGGCCCTATACAAGGTTTCTGAGGAGTGGCTGGTGAGCTTGAACCACCAACCTTGTGGTTCAAACTGACTTTGCAGTCCTGAACATTAACCCACAGTGCCACACCAGACTCAAACTTCCAATTTTTCAGTTAGCAGCTGAGTTCATAAACTGTTTGCATCACCTAGAAACTTCATTCAGCCTAGCTCAAAAGACCCAAGTCCAGAGGAATGCTCTTTTTGGGGATGTCCAAAGGAAGACCTAACCTAGTCTAAAATTAACTAACTAGGGCTGGACTCCAGAATTAGGAGAGACATTTTCACTTTCTAAGACATGAGATTCCACTTAACCACTGTAGAAGTGGGTGGTGGAGTCAGAGCACAGAGCAAGTTACAAGGCAATGTCTGTTTCTCAGCTGTCCAGCTTCCCTAACAATAAAGGAAACAGGGGATGGAGGAATTAGTATGATCCTTGTCTCTGTTAAGCAAATTTAGGGTACTAACTTCTGGATTCCTGAAAAACGTTTAACTTTACAAAGAGAAAGACCCCTATGGCATTGCTAGCTAATGGAGTTGGTTGTTTTTAATAAAACCACATCTGGTATTATTTTTTATGCCTGCCTAATGATCCACATATTATCCTTCCCCTTCTCCTCCCTCCAAGCCTAATGCCTCAGGCAGAGCAGTTTTATATAAGAAGATGCCCACTTATATTAGTGGAGGCGGGAAGAGATGCTCTGTGTGACTGGAAGTATGACTGTGTGAACAGTTTATTTCTTCAAAGGGTGCTCAGTGAGAAGTAGGACTTTAAAAATTGGTGATTAGTCAGGTTTTAATTTTCTGGGATGGAAGTCTTCAATTCGCCTGGAGTTGTGTGCCTTGAAAGAGATAAGGAGTATCTCATTAGAAAAAAATAAGACGTGGGAATATTTTGAAAGAAGGTAAAAATTCGATTATTCATTTAGTCATCAAAAATTTTATTAACAATGCAATGTGCCAGGCACATGGTACTAGTCACATCTGGCGATACACAGATGAGTTGGACAGGCCTCTGGCCAGGAGATAATACATTTTGGTAACTGCTATTGAAAAATGTTTGCCAAAATGTTATGGACGCTTCCCTACTAAACCCACTGCCCTCGAGAATGCTCAGTGGGGCAATTATTCATTCTAACTGAAGATGGAGTTAGCAAGGAAGGTTTCCCAGAGAAAGTGACTCTTGTGCCAAGCCTTTAAGAATGGGAAGAATCCACCAGTTGAGCCAGAAGAAAAGGTATTTTCAGACAGGGATGCCCACCAAAAGTATAGATGGGTGAAAGGGCATAGAATCAGATTCGTACAAAGTTGTGTTTCTGATAGTGGTTGTGCATCCATTCACTCCAGGGCTTATTAACTTCTTTCTGACTCATAAAACTCTGTAAGAACCAAGTACAAGCTAATGATCTCTAGTCCCAGGAAAGCATGCACACATGTTTGCACCCACACACGCGTGATTTTGTAGACAATTTCATTGAGAACCCTCTGATCCAGTGGACACACAGCATTAAGAATTCCTGATTGAATTATTTATTGTGCATCTTTATAGCAAGAGAAATTAAGAGGATTAATGGTTTTATGCGCCACTGGCTGTATCCTGTCCAATTATTAGTGGTACCTAAAGATTAACTCATTCAATGCCCATAATAAAATTATATGTTGAGGTCCTATAAGTTGGAGTCTTGGTGTGGTGCTGTAGGCTAATGTGATGGATTGCAAAGTCAGTTTGTACTGCAAGGCCAGTGGTTCAAGCTTACCAGGTGTTCCTTGGAAACCGCATACAGGGTCCCTATGGGTCGAAACCAACGAAACAGCACACAACAACAACAATAACCTGTAAGTTAATTCACTGATTTTCTATCTCCAAAGTTTACATTTCATTGGTTAATTTCCTCTGCTATAATCCCTGCACCCCCCTACTCTTTTTGGTTAGAATGATCAAAATTCAGGGATATTATGCATTTGGAATGTTAGTTGAAGCAATGAAACAAAAAAAAATTTATAATTTTTTTTTTAAGACACTGGAATCTAAAGCAAATTGGGGAGTGGTGCGGTTTTTCTCTACTACAGTGTTGTCTGGGCTTAGTCTACCGTTGCAGGTAATTAATTCCCCAGCCTGCTTATTTTTTCTAGTTGGCTCTTGTTTAGCTTACACAGAGCCCCACCCCAAAGTGCTTTATTGTCCCTCTGCTAACTATTCCTACATATGGTCAAAATCAACTCACCTTCCGGGTTGCTGACATCAGCAAATTCACTCTTTGGCAAACTTGACTCTGCTCCCAGTAACCCTTTGTGAAAAGTTATTCCAATGTAGTCTATCTGATAGCTAGCAATACTGTCCAATCTCCTCGACTCCGAGATAACTTCTAAGGAGAAACTCTTTGTCTATTAGGATTTGCAACCACAGGCAGAGATATTAGTGCTCCCAGACCTACTGGGTACTAGAGCACTGCTAATGAGCAAACAGCCCTGCCTCAATTAGTGGTTTGTGAAATATTCCTGGATATCAAATTGCTTTTGCTGCTTGATAATCGTACTGGCTCTTGGGATGAAAAGCAACCAAGTAAAAATTGTTCCCTTGTTGAGTACTGCCTTGTTGATCTCCTAAGTTCTATCTGTAGGCAGAATTGAAGTTTGCCATTTCCCCAGAGCCGAGGTTTGATTTACCCATGTAATCCTTGGGATGTTCATGTTTTCTCTTGTTAATTTTTTCCATAACATCTAGATTACCATCTTTTGAGACTGAAACCATTAATAATTATTGAAACAAGTTTGATTATTTCAGAAACAAATGAAGAACTATAAGAGGATCCAAAATGTCAAACTGCTATACTATTAGTTTCCCTAGGTATTTATCTCAGAAAGAAAGAGTGCAAGATAGATTTCCTTTTGTATTGTGGCTTAGAGGACTAATGCAGTTGGGAGAATGTTTCATCCTCGTAAACTGTGATTACAACTTCTGGTCTGATTTCCTGTAGTCTTTGCTTCTGACTTACGGAGCATTTTCAGATTGAAGTAATGTCAACCACAGCCACTGAAAAGGTTATATGAACTTCTGATATAGGGCAATTATTACTTGCCCTGTGTTTGTTAAGTACCTATGAGTTGGTTCAGACCCATAGCAATCCTGTATAGGGTTTTCGGAGTGGCTGGTGAGTTTGCATCTCATACTTGCTGTTTAAACGGACTTTGATTCCAGCACATGAACCCACAGCGCCACACCAGGAGTCCTATTTGCGTGCAAACTTAGATAGCATTACTTGCCCTTTAATGCTATCTAAATTGGCACTTTTTGAAATGATTAAACCAATCCCTACTTACAACAAACTCTTTGTCACAATCACCTTCACGTGCTGCATGTACAGCTTTTAAATCTTTGAAAAGGCTTCAGACCCGTTCTTGCACTAAAGTAAGGCTAAATAAGAACTGTGTGCACTTACTCCAGTTTACCTACAAATTATAAAAGACAGACTCAGGAATGGCTCATAACTCCAAGGGAGACAGTCTGCCTGATATAGTTTGGTAAGAAAAATGTAGTAAAGGAAAAGGAATTCAAGATGTTATTGGTATTTGAATATGTTTATTGTGACAAGAATGCTGTTATAAATATTCATAAGCAAAGACCATCTTTTTTATCTAGGAATTGTTAAAGAGAATATTCCAAGTTGGAAAGATACATCTTTTGAAAATCTGCTACCAATTTCTGCTTTCAGAAAAAGCATCTATTGTTAAATTTCTACTAACATTATAAATGGTCTCAGCACATGCCACCTGATACAATCCCACATTTTAGTGTTCCGACTTCCCAGTGGACTCTCCCACCCCACCATAATCCATGTCTCTCCAGCTCTTTGAAATACACTATCTTTTGGTAAGCAATTCTATATGATAGCTGGGGGAGGAAAGGATATAACTTGATGATAGCTACATTAATTTCTAAAGTCCAACAGAGAATAGTTTTTACTGCTTTGTAGTAAGAAGCAGTGAGAGTGATTTTAATTGACACACTTAACTCTTTCAACTCCACCTAGATAGTTCATCTATAGATAATGCAGAAAAGAGGTTGGGGGAGTACTTTTTCAATATTTTATTGTATTTTCTTAAATAAAATTCCTTTCTGGAACTTTCCAAAACAAAACATAAAAAAATTAGATACTTTATTACAAATGGTAAACTCAGAGTGCTCCAAATCTTCTCTTATTTACAAACAACGCTGGGCAGGGCACCCAAACAAACAAACATGAAATAACTTACAAAGGCATGAAGCTGTTTATTGACAGTAATCAGCTTTCATCAAATTAAAAAAAATATATATGTACATACACAGTTAACGAAGGCAGGCCAGAAAGAGCTCAGCTTCCCTCTCACAAACCTCCCTCCCGCCTCCCTTTCCCAGCCCTCCCCCCACTTGGTGTTCTTAAGGAGTACTACAGAAGCAATCTACAGTCGCTATTGCAGTTTGGAACCCGTCCCCCTCCCCCCCTCCCCTTAATACTGAATGAGATCGAATGTTAGGTCCATGCAGTTCTTGGTCAATGTTAAAGTAAAGTCTAACGTTCGGTTCGCGCCGGGACAGCCCGTCCGCAAAGCGGGGCAGCCCGCAGGCGGCAGCTCCCTGGCTCCACGCCAAAGGAGGGCGCGCCAAGTCCTTCCCACTCGTGCACACTGGGGGCGCCGTCAGGACGCAACCCAGTCCAACTTGGATACCCTTGGCTTTAGTCCTCGGACACTTCTTTTCTCTCTCTCTCCCTCTCTCTCTCTTCTTACTCTGGCAACTTGTCAAGTTCTCAAGTCTGTCTCTCTGTTATTTATTTGTCTCCGTTTCCCCTCTACCCCCGACTGTCTCTCCTCAAAACGTTTGCAACTGCTGCGTTAGCATGAGCTGGCACCCACTATTAACGTGGTTCATGACTTTCTGTTTTAGCTGTGCCACCTGTTCCCTGAGCATATTGGCAGTGGACGCCAGCTCCGAGTTCTGCGCTTTCAAGGTTTTCACTTTTTCCTCCAGCCGCGCGATCCTCTCCAATTTCCTTTTCCGGCATTTAGAGGCAGCGATGCGGTTCCTCATGCGCTTCCTCTCCGCCTTGATCCGTTCCTGTGACTCCATGTCGATGGGGGACAGGGGCGGCGTCTCTCCGGGCATCTCGGGGACCGTTTGCGGCTCCTCTTTCAGGGCCTGAAGCCGCGGGTGCTGCACGGGGATCTGCTGGGGCAGGTGGTGTGGCGGCTGCGGCTGCTGCTGGGGTTGCGCGGGAAAGGCCAGGCCGCCTGAGCCATAGGAGGGCGCCGCGCCGCCGCTGCTCAGCGCGCCGGGGTTGAAGTTGCTGAGGTTGGCGTAGACGGGCGGTTCGCTGTGTAGGCTGGCGCTGAAGCCTCCGCCGCTGCCGCCCGCCACGGAAGCCACGGCCGGGGCCACCAGGCCCGCCCCGCTGACCGGCTGCGCCGCGGACGTGACGCTGGGCAGCGTGTTCTGGCTGTGCAGTTCGGCCAGGGCGCGCACGAAGCCCTCGGCGAAGCCCTCCTGCTCGTCCGTCACGTTCTTGGGGCACAGGAATTGGGTAGGGGTCGGCGTGGTGGTGATGTGCCCGTTGCTGGACTGGATTATTAGGCGTTCCAGCTCAGGCGACGCCAACTTGAGCAGCCCCACGTCGGGCGAGGTGAGGAGGTCCGAGTTCTTGGCGCGGAGGTGCGGCTTCAGGCTGCCCACCGGGTCGGCCAGGTTCAGGGTCATGCTCTGTTTCAGGATCTTGGGGTTACTGTAGCCGTAGGCGCCGCTGTCGGACTGGAGGAAGGAGGCGTTGAGGGCATCGTCATAGAAGGTCGTTTCCATCTTTGCAGTCATAGAACAGTCCGTCCCTTCACGTGGGGTTTGTTTGAGCTGCGCGCAGAAGTTTCGGGGCCGCAACAGCGCTGGGGCGAGCGGGAGACACCCGCGCCTCCCGCGGCCTTGGGCACGGAAAGTTTCTCGTGGAGTGCGCGCACCCCCGGACTGTCTCCCCCTCGCGTCCCTCCTCAACAGCTCGCTCCAGGGAACCCGGGGTTAAGACGCCCCAGGCACCCGGCCCGGTCGGTTCGCTCGCGCTACCCCGCTTGGCAAAGTCGCGGTCACTCACTTGAGCGCTTGCTGGGCGCCGCGGTTCCTTGGACGATCTCGCTGCCCGGGGCTAGCGGCTCTCCTGGCTGGGCCACTGAGTGCAGACCCGGCCGTGGCGGGCCGGCGGCGGATCGCGGCCGCCCCGACTCCGACGACTGTCCCCTCCTCTGCTGCTAGGGGAGGGGGCGCCTGGCAGCCGCGGCTCGCGCTCGCCCAAGTTCAGCAACCGGTGCGAGCGAAGCTGGACGCGCGTCCTTTCTCTTTCCTCTCCCGTCGCCTCCTTCTTTACCGCCGCCTCGGCAGCTGAGGAGGAGGAAAGGTTTGCAAAAGTTCGCTCCGGAACTCCGGGGCCACTTGTCCCCTCTCTCCTCTCGGCGGGGAAAGTTCTTTGCTGCTGCAGTCTCTCGCCGGACTCCCCCAGCAGGCGGGCAGGCACCTCTCTCCGTGGCTGTCAGCGCCGGGGCAGCGGGACTCTCCTCCCAGGGACAGCTGGAGAAAGGATCTCCGGATGCTCCCCAAAACACCAGCCCGGAAGCCACAGGCGCTAGCTCTGGGTAGTTGGTGAGAAAATGAAAAATAAAATAAAAATTGTAGTTCGGCCTCTATTGCCTTCTAGACAGACTGAGTCTGTCTGTCTGAGTCCGCGCGCCTCTACTCCCGCCTCGCTGCTTCAGCCACACTCAGTGCAACTCTGAGCCCTTATCCAGTCCGGAGCTCAACACTTATCTGCTACCAGTCAACCCCTAAAAATAGCCCATGATGTCACCCCAAGGCCTTTCCATTGGCTCGCGTCGCTCTCAGGGGGGCGGGCCCGCCCGTCGCCATGGAGACCCCACCCTGGAAGATTCTTCTCCGGGCCCGCAGAGGCTCACGGGATGAGGTAATGCTCCGCTGCCCTCCTACAGTTGGGCCCTTCTTTCTCCTCCTCTCCCCCTTCTCTTCCCCTCCCCTCTCAGGCCAGTCTTCCCCGGCCCGCCCGGTGCATTGTGGGCTGACGTCTTGGGGTTTGACTGTCTAGTGACGGTGGCTTCCGCGAGCGGGCGGACGCTCGCAACCTCAGATGGAGGCGGTCTTAAGTTCAGGACTCCGGTCCGATACGCGGGGGATGCGGGGCTCTGTCGGGATGGGGGATCGGGCCAGTTGTCAGGGGTCGATGGCGTGGGGTGGTGTGTGGCATTTCCCCACTTGGGAGGCGCAAAGTCATCCGTGGGCATTTCGCTGCCTAGCTGGGCTGGGCAGTTAAGAGCCCGCGTCTGCGCCCTCCCCCCGCACTTCCGGGGGACTGGAGCGCCGCCCTTAAGGTGGCGCTCTTAATTCCCTTATGGGGGCGGGTGAAAGTGGGCTTAAGTTTAGGGCGGTCGTATAGGGGTTGACCTCCCCCACGTTGAGAACACTCTGAAGTTTGTCTCTTGGTCAACTTCACCAGCCAAGGTCCAACCCCGCTCTCTGGCTGAGCCCAGAGCCGAGCGATATGCTTTGCTTGAAACTAGGCGCTCACCTGAGTCCCCGCTGCACCTCACGTAACTCTCTCGGGACTCTAAGGGAGAGAGTTGCGGCAGTTCACAGTTTGGCCTCACAGGTGAGGCTTTTTTATAGGGGAGGAACTCAGCGTCCAGTGGGGAATGAGCGTTTAGGGAATCCGAAATCCTGAGTACCCCAGTGATTATCTGTTGCATACCCCAACACACACACACACACCCTCCCGCCCTGCGAGGACGAGAGTCAAGAGCCGAAGAGACTCGATAAAAGTCGCGAAACGCTTCAAGAGTAGAATCAGGACTTGTCTGTCGGCTCGCTTGGGCTCATATCTTGTGCAGCCTCTAGGAAGCGCTAGACACATAGAAGTGGTTCTTTTCCGTGGTTGTTATTTTATCCGCCCCGCCCCCTCCCTCTTCTCCACTTTAGGAGAAATGTACAGTGGAAAGAACATTGAAGTCTGGAATCGTGGTCCCGCACTGCCACAAAACTTCTCTCAGCTTCAGTTCCTTCAACTGCATGGAGATCTAACTCAATGGACTGCCAGGAATTAGTGTAACATCGAACCTCCGTGGCTAGGGAGGTGGTGGCTAAATTGTTCCCTTCCATGCCCTTCCTCATGTAAAGATTTACAGCCTTGGAAACCCTGTACAGGGTCGCTATGGGTCGGAACCGACTCGACGGCACTTAACAACAACAACAATGCCCTTCCTCCGAATAGCCAAAAGCCTCTTGGAAGGAGAATGGAATGCCAGGATACTAGAGTGTGATTTGTCAGAACCTAGTCTCTGGTAAAGGTTTTCTGGTAAAGGAGCTCCGTTAGTAGCGTAGTGGTTATGAATCGGGCTGCGAATCTCAGGGACAGCAGTTCGATTCTACCACCTGTTCAGCAGGAGACCCTACTCCGCTGCACATAACCACCACCAGTCTGCTTTTCAGTGAGGCAGGGTAGGGTTAAGCAGTCAGCTCTTTCCCAGACCCTCTGCCTAGGACTGGGGCTTGAAGTTGGACCTCCAGCAGTTTAAGTTCCTAGGTTCTTATACTTAACTCTTCTGCCTCTGAATTTGGGGGAATTCAGTCTTGGGTTCATAGCCCCTAACCTTAAGGTATTTGTGGCTTTGAGAGTTCAGAATCATCAGCAAAACAGCAGCTGGTGTCAGTGGGAAATCCACCAATTTTTTTTTTTTTTTTTCACTTGAGGCACTCACGTCCCATTCATTCTTAAAGCAGAGGTTAACTGAGTGGCTACAGAGAGCGAAACACTGAGCTGGGACAAAATGTGAGCAGTTACGAAGAGTAGGGATACAGTGATGGGAAAATTCAGTCTTTTCCCTCAAGAAGGGAACTTTCTCCTCTATACTGTTGTTGCCTTGAATTAGTTTCTGTTATGTTTAGAGAGTTGGTATTCTTAATAATTTTTGTCAGAGTAATAAAAATCATTTTCTTGTATTGAGTGCCTGCTACTTGCCAGACAATTATTCTAAGCAATTTAAATATCCTGTTTTCTCTCCATCTTGAGAGGCATATATTAAGCTTATCTGTTTTTAACATATGAGGCAACAGGCCCAGAGAGTTCAAGCATCTTATGCAGGTCACACAGGCAGTAGGAAATTGACCTGAGTTTTGTATTGCATTCCCTTATTGTATCTTCGTGGTGCTGATAAAACATTCTTGTGAAGTATCTGCAGAGGAAATGGAGCCTGTGGGAGAGGGAAATTGTCTTATCCTCTGATTGTAACTCTGTTCAGAGCTCCAATATTTAGAAACTTTAAGATTTAGGACTTTGGATAAACATCTCTCTGTTGCCTAAGGGTTCTGTGTGTCCCTCTCTGCCTTATGTGATTTAGTAGGCTGATTTTTTTTCCTTATGTTGAGAAATAGCATATTTCATCCACTAAAATAACAAATCTGTTCGTGATAACACCTCTATTTGGAAAACTTCATTGGCTTTCCCTTACTTACTACTGGAGAAGGAGCCCTGATGGTATGTATAGTGAAGAAGTGTTTGGCTGATAACTGAAAGGTCACTGGTTTGAACCCACATAGTAGAAAGATGTGGCAGTCTGCTCCCTTAAAGATTTACAACCTTGGAAATCCTATGGTGCAGTTCTACTCTGTCCTGTTAGGTGACTATGAGTTGGAATCAAGTCCACAGCAGTGAGTTTGGTTTTTTTTGATGTGGCTCTGTAGGGTTAGCACTGGGCTTGGAACCACAAGGTCAGTAGGCAGCTCAAATCCACCAGCTGCTCCTTGGAAACCCTATACAGGGTCACTATGGGTCGTCATCGACTCGATGGCACTTAACAACAACAACAACAAGAGAGAGGCCAGATTGCTTCCCTAGGAGAAGGGATCTCTCACAATTTAGCTTAAGCTCTCTTCAGCCTCATTGCTTTCCCTCCTAATATTAGCTAAAAGGATCTGGGCTTATGCTGCCATAATGAGCAATCCTAACATCTCAGTAGCTTTTACTGAGTTACAATGAAAGGTTATTTTTTGCTCATGCTACCTGTCCAATGTGGATTTGCAGGGGAGCTTGGCTCACTGTGTTCGTTCACTCAGGCTGAAGGACACTTCATCTTGATACTTGCTTCTCATGCTTTTCTGTGGGGAGACAATGTGGCAACTCATACTCCCATACTGGCTCTCAGCATATCCACCAGGATTTTTGCTTATATATCATTGGTCAAAGCAAGTCACCTGGCCATGCCTAACTTCAAATCTGTTTAACTCTGCTAAGAGTTTGGAAAAGAGAAAGTCAGGAATGTTTGGGGAACAACACTTGAATTGTCTCCTTTCGTTCCAAATGTTTGGCTCCCTCTCCTCTCATAGGCAAAGTTTCTTCACTCTTTCCTCAAGAGAGACAGCCATCCAGTCAAAGCATCAAACCCATTGTCCACAATTTCTGGATGATATGTTATTGTTGTTAGGTGCCATTGAGTCAGTACCGACCCATAATGAACTTATGCACAACAGAACAAAATGCTGCCCGATCCTGGGTCAACCTCATTACTGTATAGGGTGGTAGATGTGACTCCTCTTCATCTAAAGGCAAGATACCTACCCTGCCTACCCTCAATATATAATGTTGGGTTCGAAACAAGAAAACTACAATGGTCAGTACCATTTGGAAAGAGAGGGGACGGAGACTGAAGTTCTTACTGGTCTACTGAGTAGACATTTTGAGGACTTTTCCTATCCACTACCTTGATTAGAAGGAGCTCTGGTAGTGTAGTGGTTACGAATCGGGCTGTGAACAGCAAGGCCAGCAGTTTGAAACTACCAGCTGTTCCTCAGGAGAAAGATGAGGCTTTCTGCTCCTGTAAAGATTTACAGCCTCAGAAACCCTGTACAGGGTTGCTATGAGTCGGAACCCACTCCACGGCACATAACCACCACCATCACCTTGATTAGACCCTGATTCTGCTCCTCGGATATAGCTGCCTACCAATTGTTTTCCAAGAGTCCTCCCTGAGTCTCAAAAGACTCTCTTTGAGAATCTTTTCTCATCTAAAGTGAACATTGGGAAATATGCTTATAAATAAGCTTATTTTATTTTAAATCAGGGATATAGGGAAATATTAAATCTCAAAGTCTTTTAATCCAAGCTGGCATTCTTTTGGCAGTGCAACTGCCATAAAAACGTAGTATGCTTCTTGCCTAATTCTAGGTGTTACATGT